GTGGTGATGTGTGATGGTATATTGACTGCGAACATACAGCGCCATCTATTCCTTATGCGAGCGCTACCCCTGTTCCATCTATTCCCTGTGCGAGCCCTGCTCTTGTCTCATTATCCCCTGTCCCCGCACGCGTGATTCCCCCTCCCGCGTAGTTTAGACCTACGTAAAAGATGACTTCTTCCGATGGAATGTTGAGATCATCCAAGGCAAGAAGAGCAGCCACCTCGTCTGGTGGCAGGTCCAGAAACTCGTTGTTCCTGATGACGTCGACAAACTTGTCCTGCAATACAGAAACAAACATGGCACTTACGATCACGTCACCTCAGCACACACAAACAATCAACGGAAAACTTCAAGTAGCCCGAGAGCTACACAGCGTACATTCCGTATCGTCTAAGAACGAAATATTACATGCTTGTTACAGCCCGTCCTCACATTCCATGGACAATATTGCAGAGCTTCCATGATTTCGAAATTGGGAACCTGCATTACGGTAAACGTTTGTAAATGCGTATCTGCTAAAAAACTAAATCTATAAAAAACTACCCCACTCAAAGCTAGGCACGTGCCTAGTTTCTTCGTGAGGTAGACAACTCGTGATCATGCACGGCAGAGCCCGTGACCTATAACAATTACTCCATGCGTGACCACAACTCTGCACAACACGAGCGACGGCTGGCTGATACACAGCATCTGACCGGTGACAAACTTGTCTGATCTGTGCGGCCGCTGGGCAGTTGTTTCATGTCACGTGACCAATGGGTAACTGTTCCACGCCGCTCGGCCGTGGCCCACCGTTCTAAGCCACGACCAGGTGACCCGCTGTATAACACGGTGTGGATGGCGACCCACTGTTTTAGAGGGTGTGACAGAGGACCCGCTGTTGTGCTCGGCGTGGCCGGTGACCCGCTGTACAACACGGCGTGGGTGGTGGTCGTGACAGGGGACCCGCTGCTGCGCCGGTGTGGCAGCTGACCCGCTGTACAACACCGCGTGGGTGGTGGTTGTGACGGAGGACCCGCTGCTGTGCCCGGGTGGAGGCTGACCCGCTGTACAACACCATGTGGGTGGTGGTTGTGGCAGGGGCCCGCTGCTGTGCCGGCGTGGCGGCTGACCCGCTGTACAACACCAGGTGGGTGGTGGTTGTGACAGGGGGCCCGCTGCTGTGCCCGGCGTGGCGGCTGACCCGCTGTACAACACCGCATGGGTGGTGGTTATGACAGGGGGCCCGCTGCTGTGCCCGGTGTGGCGGCTGACCCGCTGTGTCACACCGTGTGGGTGGCGGTTGTGACAGGGGGCGCCGCTGCTGTGCCCGGTGTGGCGGCTGACATACGGCGGTGAAGCGCTGGACGGAGCGGTGCAGCTTCTGGCAGCCCTGCCGCTCAGCGAACAGGCCGATGCCGATGCAGTTGGAGGGGTGCAGCTGCTTCTCGAGGAAGTGGCAGCAGGCCGTCTGGATCTGCGACAGCTGCAGCAGGCTGGCCGTGGTCAGCAGCAGCTCCACCGTCTGCTCATTCAGCTCCAGACAACCTGGTGGCCGGAAATGGAGACAGCCGTCACAAGGCGGGACCACGATCAAATCAAATTCCTGTCATGCATACGACCCAGCAAGTGCTTGTGAGACGCTTAAGTTGGACTAGACTCAAACCCGTCTTTATTGGCCTTGCAAGCAATATTACGGATGGAAAAGGAACTTTTAATACGAACCCGAGCCAAGCTTCCCTAGATATTCATGCGTGAGCGGAGCATGATAGCCCCCCTCCCCCCCCCCCCCCACTTCTCAGACATCATACGAAAAAAACTTCGCTGAAGACATCACCTGCAATGCGCTTATATCAAACGACAAAAAGCAAAATAGTCATCATCCAAGGAAATGGTCAGCCTTGTCACTACAATAAGACTTCCTCACCAATTTTCACAATTCTAGCTGCGAGATGTTCCGGTACTTAGCCATTCGATCACCCGTAGCTGACAGCAAAAGCATAGCACGTACCAAGACGGAAAAACTATGAACACGCCAGCTCTGGCATAGGCTGGGAGCACCATAAAAAATTCAGCCCTTATGAAAAAGTTGTTCGCGAAATGGACGCGTTCGAAAAATGGACAAGTGGAGCAAGGCAAAGAAAAAACAAAAACCGACTACACTGTATGAACTACGGTGACTTAGATGAGGACCCACGTGTGCTAACTTTGAAGGACCTGGAAGAGTGAGACGGACCAGCGTGATTTGGGTGCACACGTTTCACGAACGTCTGTGATGTCATTCCATGTATGTTAGGGAACTACCCAAAAAGTACATTCACCAACACACTCCGCCACTCGCTCTTTCAAACACACGGCACCAACATGAGGCAAGCTGCGATAAGGACAATTTTCACGGGGGTTGAGCGCAACCAATAAACAATGGATACCGTACTCTTACGCGAACGATGAACTGGTGCGACGGTGCACAGCACAGAACACGTTTATCTTTTGCTTCACGTCAAAACGCAGATCCAAGCGCCCACAGACCATTGTTTTTGCGCCTGCGTTGCGTGCACACGCGCTCACTCGGGCAGAAAGCGCAACACAGATCTGCTCAAAACACTCCCTTCGGATAATCGCAACGGCCAAGACACTTCGAGCAAATGTTTTCGTTCTGCTTAGAGCGTAAGTGTAAGATGACGCACGTTGCAGCAAGGGCCCAGCTTGGAGGCTGGCTGGGTCAGTATCTGAGCGTTAACCGAGGGATCAGTATGCGCATGCGCAGTCAGCAACTCACACATGCCGTGTGGCGGAGACGCCGCGACTGACTAGTGCTCAATTCATTTCTTGTTAAGTGTGCGGATGCTTTAAATACGAGGCGGAAGGATGTAAGAGCTCAGTGGGCATCCCGCATGCACATCGTCTAAGGACAATGTACATCTTTTCACTATCCATGCATCGCCTCAAAAGACGATGATGGTTCTATACAGAACACCCCTTCTAAATGCCCCACAGCCCAATCTGGCGGCGCCGCTGACCTGTATAACAGAAGTCCACCACCATCTGCAGTGCGTCCGGGTCCACCTGCTTCAGTTCGACCACCGGCGCGCGCGCCTCCAGCACGTCGTGTGTGAACATGACCTCGAAATAGGGCGAGGCGGCCGACAGCAGCAGTCGGTGAGCAGGGATGCGTCGGCCGTCTGGCGGACAGCGGCAGGGTCAGACACACCGCTCACGGCCTCCCGCAGCGAGCACCCGACACATGCCAAGATTACCTACAGAACGTTTGGTTCTCCAGGCCCAGGCCGCCGACTTTCCGCACATCGTAGGTCATCTTACTCGTACCACTTTGTCAAAGATAATACTTAAACAGCCAAATAGATGGCTTTTAATAAGATTTATTGACAAATTTAGCTGTCGGCTTCTGCTTCATTCTTTCCAGAAACAGCTATCTGTTTATCTCAATCTCCAGCCCCTGGTATTGAAATCTCATACCTCTACACTAATGCCAATATCTAAGTGCTAACTTTCAATGTATCACACAAACGCAGCCGATGAGCGATTTTCTACGCAGCAAAACGCGAAAGCGGCTTCACTACACAACATCTGGCGACAACCCAACGGCCGTTGCAGTTGCTCGACTCGCCCACAGCCACACGCTGAACTCCAGCGAACCGTATCGTTTTAGAGCCAACTACGGAGATCCACCGTCGCCACAGCGACGCCGCTGTGCCAACCCAAACGTCCAAATCACGCCATCCTGATGACCTTTCACAAAGACCGTGCCGATCCAAAACGGGTCGCCTGGAATGACGCAGTCGCTGGCGGTCGGCCAAGTGCGCGCGTCGCCATGCAGCCGGAGCTCACCAGCCACCAGCGTGACGTCACAGAGCGCGTGCTGCAGGCGCAGCCGGTCCATGCGCACCAGCAGACCGTCGGCATGGCCAGAGGCGCGGAACACGCCGTCGGCGCCGGCCGTCGGCTCCGACGCCATCCTGATGCCCTGCAGCAACAGGAAGAAGGGGAGGTCACAAGGGGAGGGTTATGCAGCGAGCGCCATTCGAGAGAGGGCCAGCAGCGGGGATTTACAGAGTGTTAGTGAAAGCAAAAACCTGCCAGATGTGTCCCAATCAACACTGTTGCCACAAATGTCGTGTTTGTCATATTGCATCGCAATAGGATTGCTGGAAGATGGAGAGAGCACACTTCAATCCAACTGTTTGAATGCCAGATAGGTACTGCAATATCATTGGAAAGAAGACAATCATAAAAAGGCCAAAATGTATGAGCTGCTCCAATCACCACAACAAAGAAACATGACAATGAAGCATTCAAATTTGATGGGAGGTTGCAACCAGGTAATAACTACCATGCAAAAATGACATGTTTTGAACTTGACCTGACCAGGTTTGATACTATATGTATTTAAAGCTTTTATCTTCAACCCCATTGGTGACAACTGCATGAAAATCTCATGAACAAATATTGCAGTGGGCTTTATGTTGCCCTGTTGATGCAGACAAGCTGGTTGACCAGGTGTGATTCCTTTGAACAATGCAACTTGATCCAAACTGTGTCATTCCCATTCAATTAAGTGGCAAAAGATAGCTTATGCTGGTCCCCAAAAAGGCTGCATGACATGGGGGTAAAGCCTGGCACAGGTGTGATGCCCCCTGTATTGCAGCAACATAGACCAACATGTTTTGACAGAGAGAATGGACAATGGCTGGCATTGATTATTGGCAGACATACCAGTTACTGGTGCTGGCAATCCCAAGTTCTTGGGCACAACCAAAGGATCTACCTGTCTTGGAGACTTCTAAGCACTGCTGATCTTACCAACTGGAGACCAAGGCATGTGAATGCCCCATCAGAATACCTATCTACTATCCATTATGTGACCCAACACCATATGCTACATAGATGTAGCAGCAGTCAATGTGGAGGCAGCCAACATCCCCTTTCCTCAAGTTGGCCTTTAATTCAGCATGCTAGTCTTACATCGGAGCTTGGACCAGAAGTAACATACAGAAATAGAGTACCTTTTATTGCATACTATATGTACCAAAAAATTAGCATTTTTTCAGGACTTGACTCCAGTCTTAAATCATGCATAACTACAACTTGATTTATTTTACTAACTAAATTTGCTAGGCTAAACTACATATATCACAGGCTAAGTTTCAAGCAACAGGACTTGAATAAAATCAACACACAAGAAGCATGCCAATAAATGATGTGTTTAGCTGCTCTATTATTCTGAAAGGCAGATACCAATGCCATGCTAACATCTACTGGCAGCAGTTTCTAAGGCATTTGGTTCTTTTATCTCAGATTTTGACAATATCTACTCTGGGATAATTAATACCCTGAGATCTGCTCAAACCTAGCTCTCTGCATACTACATGAGGTATCTTTTTGCTAGTTGTGTTGTAGCACGTAAATTTAAATAACATTGTACTTCCTTGTTCATGACTTTAAACCAAACATGATAACAAAGTCAAGGCAACACAAGTCAAAATGCAGATGGATTATGGAACAATAGACATGCGAAGCAATGCTCAGATGTTTTAAATGAACTGGGCCTGGCATAAGCAGGAAAATACCATTTAAACCATAAACCAGATGGGCACTTACATGCCTATGCTGTCCAGTCATGTTAGACCTGCCACAGTTTGACAAGATGAATAGTGCTAACATAATATTTGTTTGTAACTAGATAATCCATATGTGATATTGCGCAAGGATGGGGCAGGGCATGTGACATCTGATGAGGCATATGCATAAGTGGGATCCAAAGTTTAGACACAGTAACATTATGTTGTCATGGATTAACAAATAATCTTAAAATTAACCAACAGATGTTTTAACAGCAGGGCAAAGAGTTCCTCAAACCCAGAAACAGGGAGTCTTGTCCCAAGTAACCAGTGCATAATTAGCAGGGAACAGGGCAGTGAGCAATTGGATTAACATGTGCAACCTT